TGACCCCACGTGTAGAGATTAGGTGATGGGGGACATAGGGGCAGTATACTAAGGTACAGAACCCAACTGAAGCCCAAGTTTTCTAAATCAAGATAGTGTAACTCAGTTAAGACTAACCTGGAGAGATGTTATAGAATCTTCTAAAAATATTTACTTGGAAAAAAAGGGCTCCAACGATGTACTATAAGTTAAGGCATTAATTTTTAGTTTCAACTCTGCTACAAAGCCCCCAAGTTCAGACTTCTGAAACCACTTGAATTTTTAATGAATCCATCTTCCTACAAAGGCTTAAAATCTTGGAGCTTCTATCTGAGTCTGAAGCAAATGCTGCTTTGGTCTTGAGAATATTCATGTATTCCAGACATTTTTGTCATTCCCTAGCCCAGAAAACCCAAATATTATTACCTTTATCCTCTCAGCATAAAGTGAATTTTAGATAATTCATTTCTAGGCCAGAGTTAAGAGCTTTATATGTATTTGTGATGTGGTTTTGTGCTGTGACCGTGAAAGATTGTGGCATTCCGGTTTGTGATTAACTTTTAACTTCATGTTCTAGAGAGAGATTTCAGAAGGGAATAGCCATTGGTCAGTTTTATAGAAAAACATCCTTGAAAAATGTTTATGTATTTAAGCCATTTGATTTAAACAAAAATGGGAATATAAAGTTAACAGTGAAAACATAGTAATTAAGTCATTTTCAATGGTTATTGACCCATTCATTACAGAATTGTGCATTTTGCCTGAAGATTTTTTTTTAATTTTCAGTAAGATAAGTATGTTTGATTTTTAGCTTCAAGGCAGATCATCAAGCAGCAGTAAAAATGATAATGGAAGATCTTTGCCTGTCAGCCCTCGCCAACATTGCTTCAGCTTCCATCCTAAGGATGTTGGGGATGCAGACAACACCTTCCAGTCTGGACTTAGATGTGTCTCAGTGCCACTGGCTTTGGGGCAGGATCTGCTGCATAGTTACATTACTTGGGGCAATTGTACTGAATCACACTCCACAATCAGCTACTCTACTAAAACTCCATTGAACAATACTTTGTTCCAGAATATGCCCTGAACTGGTGTCACACTAAAAATTACCGAGATAATCGGGGAAGCACAGGAAGAGCAGCCCAGGTGGAACATGGGGAAACAGAGGCACTGTAAGAATGATGCAGTTCAGCAATCTGGAAAATAATCAATGTTGATCTAAAATTGGTTTGGCCCAGAGAAGTTCTACTCCATGACTTCAACCCTGGTCAAGGACTGTCCACTTATTCAGAGGCTACCTGGAAGTCCGTACCCTTACATAGTCTCAGAGAAAACTACCAATCGCCCATGCTCAACACCTGCATCTTCCCTATCCTCAACTCCCTGAGGTAAACCTGTCCCAAGCTCAACCACCATTCCCACAGAGGTCGTTGCTTTTCATTGTTCTAATTAAAGACAATTTGCTTCTGTTGATGTTGGAGTTGTGTTTGTTTTTTCCCAGTCATCACAGTCCATTCCAGATCTAACAATTAGAAAGATGCTAAAATCCAAAGAATCTATTCCAAGCAAACAAAGAAACATACTAACACAATGTTGATTTCTGACCCAGCATATAAAGTTTTAGAAAATGGAAGGTTGGGTGTCAATATAGATCAAGGTAATGAGAAGATAAGTGGGGGATAATTCTGGGAAATTGGAAAGGTACCTAACTTGCCACATACTATGCCGTTAAATTTATATTTTTCTTCAGTGATTTGTGTCATCATTGCTGCCTTGAAAACAAACAGATAAAGAAAAAAATAAGTAGCATGGTCAGATACATACTTGACGTGTGTCATGCTGAGGATATTTATGAAGTAAATTTCTGAGGGCAGAGGAGAAAACTAACACAACTGTTGTAGGTTTGTTTATTTTTTAAGAAGATCAAGGAGAGACTAATTATTGATGAATATGGAAAGAACAGATTTCTTGAAAAATCAAGGATGAGGTGATAATAATTGACATAAATGCTATCTAATTAGTGATTTAAAAAGAAAAATACCTTGAATGACATATTAGTTTCTGACCTAAGCAAGAAATGAGTGGTGACTTTAAAAAGTCATCAACATAAGGAACAAAAGTGGAGATTGCATGAAGACTATACTTTCAGGGATCAGATACTGTCTGTTACTAGAGAAGTTTCTGTAACTGTGCAGAGTATCTGAGACTACAAGGGTGAAAGGTAGCATCCTCTCCTGAGTGTGAAGCTGGTTCTTGAGCTTGCGTTTCTTCAGCTGTTTTTTGACATTGTTGATAATTCTTCTCTTTCTTTGGGAGAGGGAGAGAGAGAGGGAAGGCAATTTGAGTGCGTAAAAAAGATCGTGTTTTTTCGTATGTAAATTTTATTTATTATCATTGTGAATGTGTATGTATGAAGTATGTGCACAGGGATGATAGAATACAACTTTGTGAGCTCAGTTCTCTCCTTCTACCTTTATATGGGTTTTCAGAATCTAATTCAGAACATTGGGTTTATACCGTTTATAGTGAAAGTGTTCCTACCCACTGAACCATCTTGCTGGATCCTAAAGATCATTTTTTTTAATGGAAGACAAACACTTTCGCTGTGTACAAACTGTTCTTGGGATAACTATAGACCTACTAAGTATAAATATGCATGAATGTTAAGAAGAAAAGATCTATAATCAGGATGGAAATCTGTATTGAAGACATGTTTCTACATCAAATATAAAAGTGAGAGTTGAAATTATAAATGTAGATGATACTGTTCCACAAAATCTAGAGTGAAAAAGTACACAGATTTTAATAAAATCTAATTTTTTCCTTTCATAGAGAGGAAAATGCTAAAATGCTTTTAGGATTGGGTATAAATCATCATTGATGAACTCAAAGTCATCTTGATTTTCTCTTATGCTTTTTAGTTTTGTGTTTAATGTTATGCATATGACACATTATGAGTTAATTTTTGTGATGGAATAGTGGCTGTTTTTAAATACCTTCCTTAATTTATAGACACCCAGCTGTTCTAGCTCTGTTTGTTGAAGAGTATCTTGGTCCATTGTTTCATGTTCCCTCATTTGCCAATATTTATTTCTTTTAAAATTTTTGTTCTGCAAAATATCAAAAGAATAAAAACACAAATTAAAGATTGGGGAAATGTTTGCAAAAGAATTCACACAAACAATTGTTGCCTCAAATATACAAAGGACTCTTAAATTTTAGTAATATGAAAACATACAACTTGATTACAAATGGGCCAAACACTTCAATAGATATCTCCCCAGAAAAGAAATAAAGATGAAAAGTGAGAAGATAAATACCTCTTGTGACATACAACTGGAAAAGGAAAAATAAAATAGAGAGATACTGTTATAGACTATTATACTGCACACAAACCAGAGCACTTATTTTGCAAAATTCTGAGGGAAATGTGAAGGAGCAAGAATTTCCATTCATTGCTGGTAGAAATGTTTGTTGGAAGATAGTTTCAAACTTTCTTATAAAATTAAACATGTTCTTTTACAATCACCAGATCCAATTCTTTCTATTTATCCAAAGTGACTGAAAGCTGAAATTTGAACACAAATGTTTATAGCAGGTTTATTTACAATTGTCAAAATTTTAAACAACTATGTCTGTTAGTCCGCAAATGGATTGACTACAGTAAATACAGTCAATGGTTTATTATTCAGCACTAGAAAGAAATTATCTATAAAGCCAGAAAAGACATGTAGGAAATTTAAATTTGTATTAACTAGAAGTCAGTACAAAAAGACCATACAGAGATGGGATTGGTCTAAAACTCCTGTAATCCCAGCAGTCAGTGAGCTGGGGGAAAAGTGACATTCTAAAAAAGGTAAAAGTTGAAATATTTTAAAAAGTATTGGTTGTTACGCAAGGAAGGATAAGTCAGAGCACACATATGTTTAGGGTAGTGAAATTATCCTATGTGTCACTGTGATACACCAATGGCACCAATGGTGAGCTCTGATATGAACTCTAAAGTCTAAAAGATTCATCAGTAGTGACACTTTCATCATTCTGATGAAGGATATTTATAATAAGAAGTTATTAGTAATGATAGAAGCTAACCCAGGTAGTTGGAGAGATATGTAAGAAACCTCTAACTTTCACTCAGTTGTTATGGTAGCCTAAAATTTCATTAAATGATGAAATCTATAAAGGAAGAGACAAGAAGAGATGAAAATGAAGAAATGGACATTAAAAGCCAGAGAGACAGATCAGATGGTAAACTGTTATAAGCAGGAAGACATGAGCCCAATACCCAGAACCCACATTAAACACACACACACACACACACACACACACACACACACACACACACACACACACACAGGTGTTTTGAGAACTCCAATATTTGGAAATCAAAAAAAAGAACAACACATGACTGACAAGATGTTCAAGTAGGGACCAAAAAAGAACATGTTCACAAAGTAATGAAATCATTTGAAATTCTTAAGTGTTCCAGGGTTAAATAACTCAAGCAGTTCAAAGCATACATTTATTTTAAGTATATCATCAGCTACTACCATAATACTACCTTTGCAAAGAAAAATGTGACCTTATTTATCAATAATCATGAACTTAAAAGTAGATAAATAAAAAATGAGACATTAAATGTTATATGACAGAATAATAAACAAAAATCAAATATATAGTTCTGTGTTATAGGATTTAAAATTAGAAATTTCTGAAAAGTTGTAAGCCGTAAAATGGTATGATATATGTGCAAATAATAATTGAATACTATATTATACAAAGTGTAAATGTAACACAAGTCAAATGTTGATTTGAATTTAAATAGATAATGCATATTAAAAGGAAAACATATAGAAAATATAAAATATATAATGTATACATAGTACAATGTGGCCTCAAATAAATAAAACAAAACTCTCAGAATTATAAGATATTACCAGATCCCCAAGCATTATGGAGTTCCTCATTCAACAGATGATTCACTAGAAATAATGACGCTGTTGAAAATTTAGCAGTACAGCCCACAAACCTGATCTGAGTCACCTAGAAAACACTGCACCTAATGAAAAAAAAGAAAAAATTATATATTGGGCGTACTTGATTCACTTTTCCAAAGTGGCACACAGAGTCACAAAAGGAATTGCCGTATATGCCAAAGAATTTCTTTCACAAAAACTTCATCCTATTCTCAGGTTCCCAGAGAATGTCTCAAATACAGAAACAATAACTCATAAGTAAGACTATATTCCACAGTACAAGGAAAGTCAGTGTTCCTATAAATAACAGAATGCCACAAATCTTAAAAATTAGATAATAAACAACTAAAAAATATTTAAGTGCCCAACTGCGTCAGAAGAGCTTCCTGGAATTTCATTTTTTCTTCTACAATTTATGAGTCATTTTTTTTTATTTCTATGCTTAGTGGCTTATACTGAAATATTTTAAAATGAAAGAGATCTGTCTCAGCAAAAATTAGAATATAGTTTTTCAGTAAAAAATCTACAAAAGTACATACATATGACACGTGTGCTCCAAGAAGATTACTATCTCCTCCAAACTTTATCTTGGAATAGATGGAAGCACACTACAAAAGGGGGCGTGACTGGAGCAATCTGTGCACCTGAGTCAAAGAGGTCACATGGCTCTGGACCACTGCCCCCTGACATGCACTTCTGACCAGCCTCGAGTGCTATTTCCAAGAGAAACACTGATATTATACTTTTCTAGGCCATGAACATATATTAAAAGCAAAATTACAATCTGCCATAAACTGCTTATTAAAGTCCCTAGTTCATTCCAGGAAAAGTGAATTATGGCTAGTTTCTGACCCAGTGTTTTAATTTACAGCCTGATCTATTTAAAAATATCTTACTTCAAATACAATTTGTATTGCCTATTACTTAGCCATATAATTCATCTACATATTCATGCTTTTTGACTTTTTGTTAATCTATTAATATTTTTGCGTCAGTAGAATTTAAGAATTAGTTTTTATGTATGTTTTTTTAACTTTTCATAATGAAAAAGTTTCTGAGAGTTTTATAGGCCTCATGTTGCCACCAATAAATTTAAACATGGCCTCATTTTGTGTTTATATATTCCCCTACACATGTATCTATCAAAATTGCTATTCCCATTCCCTGTGAGTTACTTTAAAAAATCCAAAAAAAAAAATTCTACTGCTTACCTATAAGTATTTCAAGACACATCTCCACAAGACAAAGGCTACATTTAACATAAGTATAATAGTATCATCACTAAAATGAAGTTTAATTTCCCTTTTTCCTATCCTCATGTGATGGATGCCTTATCAAACTACATTTTGATCTAACATTTGCACTTGAGACTGAAATTTCTCCAAAAATGGTCCTAGATGAATACTAGAACTTGGGATATCTTCAGTATACTAAGCACAAAATATGTCTTCTAATAGTTATGTATCCCATACTTTGAGCCCTTTGTTGCTAAATCGTACATGATAAATGTGTTATCATCCAGAGATGCTTTTGTTTCTAATGTATTCCAATGTCACCCAACAAAATACTCTTCACAGTTTCAGTTCTCTGAGGTTTATAGGAATTTACCCTTTAGTAGAGCTTGCATTTGAAAGACTGCTATAAAAAATGTAAGAAAGTGTCTCTTTGCCGAATATTTAAACTTTATGAGTCAATCAATATGAGGGAGTATCCACAGGCAATTGCAGTGTGTTTACTCTGCACTTGTTACTTGCAGTGTATTTATTGATATCAATTTTATCAATAATGATAAGAATGTCATTCTCAATAGCTACATCTTTATTTATTTTGTTTCCCACTTGTTCTGTCAATGCCCCCTAGTGTGGTAACTATGATAACCATCCCAACCCTTTCTCTGAAAAAGTAGAGCTGCAGTGACAGGTAGACCTCTGTCAATCACCTCCAGATGTTCATCTCTGAGTTATTTACAACTAACAAATGATCTGCATGGGGATGTTGAGTCCTTATTCTAACCTGGAAAAGCCACTACAAATCATATCATTCTAGAATTTTCCTCAGAGTAAGCTACAACTTCTATAGAAAATGAGTCAGATCCCTGCAATCTCTATTAACCTGAGAGCACTCCCAAACAAACGTGGTGACCCAGCCCTGTGTCTGCTTCCAGAAACCCTGAACTGTGGCTGTTGATGCTAGGAGTTGCCAAAGCAAACAAACACATGTAACTACAGGAGTGGTACCTGGAACTCCATCATCTGCCACCTAGCTACTAATGGGGACCACTGTCTGTGTGGTAGAAGGCAGGGGGAACCTGGGAAGCCTCTAAATGAATATTTCAACTTCTCAGCCTCATAGATGTTGAACTGCAATAGTGTCCTTCTCAGTTGAAAAGATGCTGCTGTGGATGAAAGAAGTTCCAACCTTGAAGAAATTGGACTATAAAGACAATTAAGTTAGGAGGTCATTTACAATATCCTAGAAGAAAAAATTATCTTCTTTGGAAACTAAGAGCAGTTAATCAGCAGCTGAATGGTAAATTGTGAGTGAAAGGATGATCTATTGCCTAGACACAAAAAGCTACAGTCAAAAATAGCAAAGAAAGCTGAGAATCAGGCCCAGGACTAAAATTTTATAGTATCCAAAACCCAGGAAAATTTAAGTTCATAGCCAAACAAGGCAATTGTGTCAAGGCTGGAACACAATTAAGAAAGAAAAGAAACGCTCAATTGTTGAGTCTTGGGCTTCACTGACACTTTTGAGTTAGGAAAGTTCATGTATCATCCCTTAAGTGAGGAAAATTCAAAGGCATGCCTACCTAAGAACTGCCATTCTCCTCTCAGATCACTAGAATAATGAAGAGGTTTGGACCACAACTTAGTTGGGTACACTTAAGCCTGGTGATACAGCAGTCCCTCATTGAGCTTAAGACCTAGACAGCAGGAAGTGAGACAACAGGTCCAATAAAGAGCAATTATTGACTTGGGAGAACTTTCACTGGGTACAGGGTTCAACACAGTGCCTAGAATTCCAATCACTGTGGCAAAAAGGACTAGCAAGAACAGCTCTTAGGAACAAGGAAAGAGAAATTACTCACATTGAATAAAAAATGCCAATATTTCCTTGATAGATGATCAGAGAAAGGCTAAAAAGAAATTGGAAGAATTAGTTGGGCTGGGATAAATACAAATTTTAAGGGAAAACAATAAATCCCAGAAAATGATTGTGGGCAAGCCAGAGGAATGTATTATTTACACAGGTGTAAATGAATGGGCTAGTAAAGGAGACATTAGCTTCACTAACAAAATAGTAGAAGCTCTCCTTTGCAAGCAAAGACTTCTGGTAGGAGATGCCATTACTCACCTGGGCTCCCAGATGGGTGCTAGGATAGTAGGACAGGAGATTATTCACTAGAAGTAAGATGGCAAAAATAATCACAATTAATGCACAAAGATACCTTTTCTTTTGTCTCTGGATCTCTAATTACATATGTTACTTTTCTATTGTACCACTTGTTTTTTAAACATCCTTTCTTTATTAAACAACGCTGGTTACTTCTGCTTGTTTTCTGGCCTTTACCTCAACTTATCAGTGCCTCGTCTGTAGCCTGCAGTTTCTCTGTCCTGCCTCGCCCCGAGGTCCCACAGCCACTTATAAAATAATCACTCAGAGGCTTCTATCAGTTACTAACTGTATGAGCTATGGCTTCAGCTCCTTGCTAGCTAGCTCTTTCGTCTTAAATTAACCCATTCCCACTAATCTGTATGTTGCCACATGGCCATGGCATTACACATCTGCTGGCATCTTGTTGCTCCTCAGGCAGCAGCTGCCGTCTCTCTCGACTCCACCCTTCTTGTCTTCCGTTTGAATGTACCACCTAACCTTATCTTGCCCTACCATAAGCCAATGCAGCTTTAGTTATTATCCAGTGGGAGCCACACATATTCACAGCATACAGAAAGACATCCTCCAACACTCATCAACATTGGCTATTATGCTGTTAACCATATTAATGAGATTTAATTTTGATGTTTCATTTTTTCTTTTTTATTTTAGCTACTGCTTTGCTATTGAAGTTCTCAATTTTCTTTTTTTATGTCTTTAAGAATATTCAGAGAATTATTTTAAGTAATACACCTGATAACACTGTGTGTGATCCAGTTCCTTGTGGATTCATTTTCACTCTGTTTTCCTTTTATTCCCTTTTTCTTGTTTTCTCACTGTGCACTGATTTCTGTTGCTAATGTGTATCATTTGCAGTTATTTTGAATAATATGAGACCTAGGGTGGTATCATGTTCCTCCAGAGAACATGTGAATTTGCCTTTTGCAATGGGTAGAACACTAGCAATCCTGGATCACCTATACATTATTATAATGATTAATAATATTGAATCTCAACTCCAGTCCATGGAAGATATGACTATTTTTTTTCTGGGCACTCTTTGTGTCTTGGGAATATATCTAATGCATGAAGTACTTACAAACACTCACTTAGTTACTGAATTGCATCTTTTGTTTCTCCAGTAACAAGACACCAGCATAAGCTCTTTAAGGCTTCTCAGTCATCACCCACCTTTTAAGGAATCAGTAACCACTGATTTTCTGTACCTGTTCATCTAGGGCTAGACCTTGCATAATTTCCTTATCCATGCTGTCATGTCAACTAGAGTTGTCAATTTTCATGTCTCTTTAGGAAACCATATTGTTGAGATTTCCTAGGTAGGAAAAACCCTGTCATAAATAGAAGATATTGTCTCACTGTAGACATCCTGGTCCTCTGACTTTTACAATCTTTCCACTCCCTTTCCTCAGCTTTCTCTGAGAACTGGGTGGAAAGGATTTGCTGGAGATTTATCAACTGGGATTAGGCATTCCCATGGTCACGTGTTCTGTACATATCAACCAGTTGTGAATTTCTGTAGAAGTCGACCATCTACTGCAAAAAGAAGCTTCTTTAATTGTGGGTGAGAGCTTCAGTAAACTGTGGGCATAATGAGATGTATTTATAACACAGAAATGATATTGGTATAGAAAATCGCATTAGACTGGCTCTCCTCTAGGGTCTATGACCTCTTCAGCCGTGGATAATTGGCCATGTTTGCAGTAGCAAGCATGAATTCCCTCCTAATAAATAAGACTTAGGCCCCATTAAATAGCTTTTGGTTAACCCCAAGTTTAAAAGTGTTACTCTTGAACTGCTAGGGTTATCTTGCTGATAGGACTTTTGATTGCTTTTCTCCCTGGGCAGCTCATACAGAACCTTCTGCTACTAAGAAATAGTTCTCAGGGCAGAAACTTTCAGATAGTTTCCAGCTCAATTCCTCCAAGTCCTGTGAAAGAAATGTGTGTGTAGAGGGGAGGGGATCTGCTTTCACTAATATAGTCTTAGCTTCAAGTTCTGGAAGTAATCAAGGACAACCACAATAGCCTAGATTGTTCTTATACCACTTTGATCAACAGCTTTAAGGGAGGTTCCCCATGTTTGGCTCAGGGTTTTCTTTTGTCAGAATGTTTATGGCTCTTGGAAAGAATATTGTCACTTTGTGTGACATGATGCCATTTGTGTGTGTGTGTGTGTGTGTGTGTGTGTGTGTGTGTGTGTGTGTATTTGTAAGTAAACATAAAATAATGTCTCCCCACAGCTTCCCCAAGGATCCTTACCATCATTTATCTTCTTCCCCTAAATCTCCCTCTGCCTTTGTATTAGCTTTGCCCATTCTCCCTAAATGCCCCTCCCTGTTTTCTCATTTCCTTCTTCATAGAATACCGTGGCACCTAATACTGGGGTTTAAGTTTGTCATTATTTTTTTTAAGAATACTTACTTATAGGATTTCAGTGTTCATCATTGACCATTCCCTTCTGAGCACTTTAATTTATTAAATTTTGAAATATTGCTTTTGTAAAATGTATAATCAATATGCTTGTCTCCATATTTTCTTAAAAAATAAATTGATAGACTATTTTGATATTTAACTGTACAATATCATTGAATTATAATCATTTTACTATAAGATTTTGATCATTAAGGACATAAAATCTTCTCTTTATATATTGAACAAAAACTAATAACTTTTGCAAAAAAATTATTTCATATCTTTACTATAAGCTAGTAAACTGGAAATTTTCTGAGTACCCTAACACTGTTAAAGAATATTATACTTACTTTTGGGTTATTGGTGGATCATTTGTGGCCTGGGATAGAACCTCTGTAGTAACATAAATGGGAACTTTGGCTATTTTTTGTCAAGCTATGGAGGTGATTTTGAAATATGTGGAGTTTTTTTGTCCTGATAATTCAGAAATCTTGATCAAGGCTTTAAGGAAATATTAGTTTTGATTCTCTATGGCAGTGGTTCTCAACCTTCCTAATGTTGCTACCCTTTAATACAGTTCCTCATGGTGTGGTGACCCCAACCATAAAATTATTTCATTGCTACTTCATAACTGTAATTTTGCCACTGTTATGAATTGTAATGCAAATATCTGAAACATTTACTCTGTGAAGAAGTCATTCAAGCACAGTGGGATCATGACCCATGGGTTGAGAACCACTGTTCTAAGGCATATACAGAACAGTAAAGATACTGAATATAAACTGAGGTGAGCATTTTTATGAAATACTTTCAAGGCCATCAACATTGAGAAGTGTATGGCTAAAAGTAAACTTGATAATTTCTTTAGCTAATCATGAAAATATATATGCTTTATAATTTTTTACTTGGCTTCCTCAACTTTATGTATATTGAGTACATAGCTAGACCAAATAGTGTATACATTTTAGGTACACTTCAATAATCTCTTAGATCAAAACCAGCTTGTCAAAAATAACATCTGATGATTCCCAAAGTATAACGGAAGTCACTTTAAATCACTGATGACTCAGAGAAGAATGTTTTTAAGTAGGAAGGGAAAGATGAAAAGTCTATTCCAATTTACCCACCGTAGATGGAGAAGACTGACAGACCAGAGAAGGGAAGAACATTAACTTGGGCTCTGCCTACTACCAGAGAACAGTTCTGCTCTATAGGCACCAACTCACTTCTGGAGCTAATATGACCTCTTCCACCATTGTAACTGGAAGTTTTTCTGGTCTTGCCATCCCCATGGTCCCACAGCCCACTTATAAAAAAAAAATCACTCAGAAGCTTATATTAATTATGACTGCTTGGCCATTAGCTTAGGCTTATTACTGACTAGCTCTTACACATAAATTAACCCTTAATTCTTATTTATGTTTAGCCATGTGGCTTAGCACCTTTTCTCAGTTCTGTCTTGACATCTTGCTTCCTCTGTGTCTGGCTGGTGACTTGTGATTCTGTCCTTATTCTTACCTGCATTCTCCTCATCTGCTCACCCCACCTATACTTCCTGCCTGACTACTGGCCAATCATCATTTTATTTATCAAGCAATCAGAGCAACACATATTCACAGCATACAGAATGACATCCCACAGCACACTATGCTCATAATAACCTGTGATGAAGAGAATGCTTTGTTCAAAATATTCAACCTTATCTCTAACTAAAGCTACATAGAAAATGAGTTAAGCAACAGAATGGTATAAAGGCTAAAAAAAAAAATATGAGCGAAATGAAAATTAAAGCAACCACACAAAGCCATGTTAGTAGGCAAAATAATCCCCATGGAAAATTTATGCTGTATCAAAATTTAGAGTCCTAAGAAAATGGAAAGTAGCTTTGTAATGCACTTTCTAGTGGTAAGAGGATAGAAGGAGGGCATATTTTTCTGTTTGAGGAATGAAAACCACACAATTTAAGAGAATAAACTTAACTAAAGCTAGAATTGAGCACTCAGAGAAAATAGCCAATGATGACTCTCAGCAACCCTCTGATGTTGTGCCAATTTCACCTGAGTAAGTCTTGCATTGAAGTCAAAATGAAAGCAAATCAATAAATAAAATTCTCCATATCATGAAAACATTTTCTATGAGGCCCCTCTTCATCATCCCTGGTTGTCTCTAACAAAATGCCTACCCTTATGTCAAGCACAGAAGGTACCTTGAAAATTTATAGACATCAGGAATTTATGTGAAGGTGTGATATATACCACAGATTCCCTCAACCATGACCTTAGGCAATCTTTCATAAAAACTACATGAGGTAGAATTATATTCATTTGAATAAAGAGGAAAACCTAACCTTATCAGATCAAGTTAAGGTATATTTATCAAGTACAAAACCATGAGCAAGGCAATGAAGAGTAGTTCCTTCATGTCATCAAGGACCCAAGCATTTTGTCTTCCTACTTAATTGTCAAAGTTTCCCCACATACCTTTTGTATCATATTAAAAAAGAATGAGAAAATAAAATATAAAAGAAGAAAGAGCTTCATATCCTCTCATAAGAATTCCAAATCTCACTTATTAAAATTCCTCTTCCATGACATC